ATATATATATATATATATATATATATATATATATATATGATCAGTGCGTACGAAAAAATTATTTCCCTCGAGAACTCGGCGAGAGGCGATGCGAAGGGGTGGGCGAACGGGTGGGTGGGTGGCTCAATGTTCTCTTCCCTCCCTTGGGCCGGTCTCGTTTATCGTTATCGCCGTCTGAAAACTGTGAACGCTTTCCCGGGAGGGAGACGCAGACAATTCTTACAAGTCGCGGCGATAAGGCGGATGGGAAGATAAGACATTACGGAAGGAATAAAGGCTCGAAACGCAACTCGGGTGGACTCAAGCTCGTAGAGGATCTCGTATTCGCTCTCTCTCTTTCTTTCTGCTCAAATCCTCGCCTCCCTTTAAATTGCGATGCAACCGCGAGGAGTCGCATACGATATTCCGACAGGGTCGCACACAGCTGAAGCGCGAGAAATCGAACGGCGTGTCGCGTATACATGCCGGCGAATCGACGAGGTATTACGAGGAGGAAGAGTCACGTAATCGGAAACGATTTACTACTGCATGCCTCATACCGCGCCCCTAACCGTCGTCTTGTCGCGTATCGAAGAGCAGAGAGAGAGAGAGAGAGAGAGACCGATGAGACACCACTATCAGGGCTGTTTCTGGAACGACAAATACGCGGGTCGACATGAGCCCCTTGTCCGACCGAGTCTCGGCCTCGAATACATATGAGTATCCATTAACGAGGTGTAAATCAGACGGGCCGAGACGTTTAATCGTTCGACGGCGCGAATTCACCATCGCCTGGCAGAAGTAATTTCGCGTTTCTCTGTGCGCCCTTCGTCTATCCACCGTGTCAATTCCGTTATCGACCCCGCCGCGCGCGTTTCCTTTTATTTCTCTCTTTTTTTATTCCTTTTTCTTACTTTTTTCTTTACTTCAACGTGTACACTCCTCGACTGTACCCGAGGTGAAAGTACCATTGCCTGGGCATTGTGGCTAATATAACCCCGGTACCTGATTCTGGATATTCTTGTTGTTTTGCTTTTTAGACACGGATATCTATGATGATTGCGCGCGCGATGACGCGCCGATCTTCTTTAATTGATAGCTAAAAGCCCACGTGGTCGTTAGTGAAATAGACCGCGCGCGATCATTCGCTAATCTCCTTCAATTAGTAACTCAAAATTTCACGTGGTTGTTTACGAAATTTACTGAGAGTTCGCGTTGATGAGTTTTACCTGCATACACCAGGATGCGTGATGAATTGTCAGACATCCTGTATGTACCAAGCGGAAAAAACAACTCCGTTAGTGTAATTGAATTTTCTATTATTTCGGAACCAGATGAAAAACGCGATTGTAGAAACAAGAAGATTCCTGTGGGGAATTTTTTCTCAGCCAATTGCTTTCAATTGTCTTCATCGAGTTTTCGTATAGCTGAATGCTCAGAGGAAGGTTTTCCGTTACAGTAATAGAGACGTTATTTCTCGTCAAGGAATTTTTTTCGTCTGATTCCCGTCCAGTTATCTTAATTGATATTTTTTTTCCATATATATACATATAGTATATTCTATATCGAAAGCTTAAGGGGATACCGAAGTGGACGACGAGTTCGAAAAATGTCGACAACGTAGAGACAATTGTTACTAACACGATCATATTACCCTTTTTCTACTTCTTGTACATATAAATCTCATATGTGTGCTACTTTGTTTTACCGTGCTAGCAGAAGACATGACTACGCACATATACAGAAACCTTTCTGCAAACTTCTCGTATATCTCTGAAATTCTAATTTTAGTTACAAAGATACAGAAATGTGTACAAGCTGCATAACTTCTGCATCAAGTATAAATATTTACGCCAACTGACAGCTCGAGATATCAATTTAGAAATTTTATCACCGTTTTCCTCACATATCGAGCAATACTTCAGTTCATTATGGCACATACACCTTCGGTATGTGAAAGCACTCGCAATTCTGATGTTCGCAGAAAGAGGAAGTCAGTATTTAATCGGTGAAGTTTTCAAGGACGCCGTCCTCTGAAGTATTCGTATTTAAAGAGCGAAACAATAAGAAGGTCCAGAATTGGGTACCAGTCCAGTGTTATTAGAGCCCAGGAGGGAAGGCATCAACACTTTTACTTCGCTCCCTTCCGCTTGCCGTTGCTCCGGCTGTTCGTTAGTTATGCCGCGGCAGTCGACGTCAATGCGACCCCACCGGTCAATTAATCGCGCACGAGCGATCGTGCACACCTGCTTGCGCCATCGATCGTTGCCGAGCAGCGACGAGTATTCGTTAATTGAAAATTATCCGCGAGTCTATGCGGCGGCGTGCGAGTTCTCACGACGAGTTGTCGTTCTCCCGTCGTCAGTGAAAACAGACGTAATAATCGGGAAAGAAGCGGGTGATGAGGCGAGGCTACGTGCTCGAAAACGCGAAGCATCACGTCACGATTCTCGCGGAAAGCGCAGAGCAGACGCATGCGGAAATTCCGGCGAGTGCGCCGACAAATTTCAATCTTATTGCTTCTTTGTGCGATCTGAGCCAAGGCGCACAGCTTGTGTCAGGAACAAGAGAAACGAGCGTAATCCGCGTAACTAATACACATAATTGGCGCGAAATCTCAAAAGGTCAAGAGATGTAATTGCGAGCAGTAATCGAGAAATTATGAGCGAAAGGCGAAGTCGTATCTTTTTGCCGGATTTAACATTAAGATCGTTTAATTTTTTTGCGATTTTATTCCAATTAACCCAACGAGCAATTAGCTTAGCAAAGCGCCGCGCTAACAGTCGAGGTATCTTTGTCGTCACTGGAAGTAGAGCGGGAAGCCAGAGAAAAAAAGAGAGAAAGAGAGAGTGAGAGGGAGAAATGCAGGACGATTGAAAAACGGGCTGGAAGAAATTTCGAGTGGCCGTTGGGAGGACTCACAGAGGGAAATTCTTCTAGAATCCTTTGAACGGGACCACCACCCCTTTCATTCACGGTGCTCTCTTTTCACGTCTATCGATCCTGCCCGCTTCTACCGTGCCATTCATTTTCTATTCCCCTTTTGCTCTTTTTGTTACCAACCAGTAGTAGACCAAACTTTGTTTCGCCGAAAAAGGAAGACGTCGCAAACACAGTTCATCGGCTGTCTACAGCGACAGTTACGCGGGGGTTACGAGTGCTATTTACCGCATTGCTACTCGAATATGACCAACACCCACGACCCACGAGCGAAGTCAAACACCGAGGCTGCCATCGGCGCGATTCGCGAGCGAGACTCAAAATCGAGCAAGGCCACGATCGAAATTCGGCGATCGCGCCCTGGAACTTGAAACGCGACGTGTCTCATGATTTTGCACTTTTGCCATATGAAATACGCTTCCGAATTCTCCCAGAAAATTCCGCGCGCGTAAATCATGCCGGCATATAATTCCCGCGGAGTTTATCGTCGCGGCGGTTACTTTATATTCCAGAAGACACGGAATCGCATGAAAATGACATCAGTCCTCGACATCACGTCGCTCGCGAACGCCGCTCGCTTCCGTCGTGATGCACAACCTCGGATCTGCTTCTCTCGCCGAGAGAGAGAGAGAAAGAAAGAGAGAGAATACGAGTGTTAATGAATAAGACCTCCTCGTCGAGTCCGCGCCGAACGATCGTGAGCAAGCAAGGGAGAAGCGGGTTCGGGGAACGCGATACGTTTACGGTAACGACAGTTGACATATTCGTACGATAAACAGAACCACGTCATGTCGAAGCGAGAGCACTTTGATAACGCAGGAATGTAGACACGATTAGTCACGCGACGATATACGGTGGGAGAGCAGCCGGGTGGTAGATCGCGGATTATCATCATCGGATATTGCGACGCTGTCGTTGATGCAGCGCGGTGTGTCGTATAGCCACTTTCAACAGTTTGTCCGTTATTACGCACACACGATCGCACACGATAACGCGCTGTGCTCATCACCTCGAGGAAGGGAAGCGAAAGCGTTATTGTCATTCAACATCGCCGAGAGGCACGTCACGTGTACCCGAAGAAGTCGCGTCGTCCATTCGCTAAAACCATCTCCGCGGCAAGAATTTTCGAATAATTTTCGCCTTCTGCGAGAAGTGCACGGAAAACAGTCCCCACAGCCGAAGAACGGAATTCGTTCATGCTTGGCGGAATTCTTTTGTACACCTAGAGAAAAAATGTCTCAGAAATAAAAAGTATCCATTCAGTGAGCACTAGTAACGCGTATTTGCTTGTACTCTGATGTAAAATATTTCTCAAATAAGGGAATATACATTTTCTTAAGACTTTAGCTTTCCGCGAAAGCAATTGTTTATTCTATTCAAATAAAAAATCTAAATTTAAATAAATACGTTATTAGTACTTTCACTCTGAATAAATATTTTTTTTACTTTTCTCAGATATTTGTTTATTCAATATATACACAGCTTCAAGAGAATTCTTCTAAAACCAAAAGGAAGATATTCTAAGTACAATATAATTTCTTTTCATTAGAAGAGGAACACTTTCGGTGTTGGAAAATTTTTAGAAGAGAAATTTTCACTTGGAACATGAGATTGCAAAAAATAGCGCTTTGCAATCAGAGTTCTTTTTTTGGAGGATGTTAGAATAGTTTTCCTTTGATTTCAGAAAAATTCTCTCGAGACCATACTGAAGAAAAAATACCTGAAAATTTATTTGTGGGACGTGAAGTTAATTTCTGTGCATAAACTTTGTATTTCACGTGTATTTTTCTCGGTGCATAACATAAGAGGATTTCGCTAAGGATGAAATTATATTTTTTATGTGCAACGACGTTTAAAAAAATATAAAAATGTGCAGAGAAACGTCTAGATAAAAAGACAAAACTCTCCCTCACGAAAGTACGCGTCGTCAGCATATATCGATGTGCATCGGTAGACATTCGGGAAGTTTGAGATCACAGAGAAGAAACTCTGAGAGAAAGAAAAGGAGGGGAGAGAGAGAGAGAGAGAGAGGGGGGGGGGGAGAAAAACCGCGGGATTTTCTAATTTCTCTATCCTTACAGACGGACGATCGTTTCTTCCAGCAGACCGAGAGCGGCGAAGAGCAGCAGGACAAACGGCTGCGGGTGAGAGGGCGCGATGTTCGAGAACATTGCGCGCCGTCACCGACGAAATTGGATCGCGCCGTCCTCTCACCGAGGAAGCGAAGCGTCCGAACGTACGTTGTAGTAGAGAACACTTCGACGGCGGGGCACGAAGAAATCTCAAGGACACGTCGAACGATCGTCGTCATCGTGAGAGCATGAATTCGACGAGAAGAAGCGGGGCGCATTATGAGCGAGTCAGGATCACGTAATGTTGCGTGGCTTGTGTCACGTGCCACGTGGTCGACATAGCTCCCATCATAGTGTGTGGTGAAAGCGGGTTAAGTCGTACGCGATTAATCGGCGTTTAATCGCACGCCAAGCCGTAGGGTGACCGCCGCGCAAATTGAAAGCACTCCGCCGGTGGTTCGGAGGACAGACATGTCGAGACGACCTCGCGGTCGGCTCGACGCGGAACTCGCTGGCGCCGTCTCGATATAAAACGCGACTGGTGATAAAGAAGAGGAGGAGAAAGAAGAAGAGGAGGAGGAGAAGGAAGAAGAAGAAGGAGGAGAGTAAACTCTCGAAGCGCATGGCAGGAGGGGAGACAGGGGGAGAGGCAGTGAGCGAGAGGCGCAAAATGGGAGCAACGAAATATGTGTTAGGCAGCGCGATCTTAGGACTCTTCTGGAGCAGCTTGCTGAAGGGCGTCCTGACTAACTCCACCAGCAGGTGCGACTATCCGCCCTGCTCCTGTGATCATTACGGCAGACTCAACTGTGACTGCAAGGAGGAGGGCGAGGTAGGTACAACAATGCCGTACTGGTATTATATTATCGCGCGAGAAGCGGGGGCATTAGGGCTTTCGCACATGGCTTGCCATGTCCGTAGATCTAAGAGGTAAACTAAAGAACCAATCGTGATATCGCTCCGGGATTTTTCTAGCTAGAAGAAAATTGACATAACCGTGTAAGTAGGATTCTGACTGAGAAACTAGGATCTTAATCAGATGTCAATCTTATCTACTTTTGCATATAATCAGATTTACCAACAGTTCTGTCTTCTTCCAGAGTACACTATAGTAAAATCCTAATTGATCCTTCAACTAGAATTTACGTCTTTTATGTCTATGGTTATGGCAAGATATGTGCGAAAGCCCTTAACCGTGTGTAGTACAAAGTCCGGTACACAGAGAGAATACTAGGGATATCGCAACCAATACACCAATATATCAACCCTATACACAGGAAAAAGATGATTTGGTGCACATGAGCGGAAACATTTCGTATATATGAGCAGCATAGTTGCTTTATGTGGTGGTAATGCGTATGATACGAATACATATTACTTTGGTACATCAACTACGTCGATATAGTTGCGCGTGATTTGGTTATAACAATTAGAAATCGATCAAGCTGGCATTTTCATTGTTGGAGATATCGATATCACTGCTGCAACGCCACTAACTCAACTCTGTGGTTGCAGCAACCACATAATTAGTTGTTCCATATTTTACTAATGAATCTGGTTGACGTAACCAGATTAATGCGTGGGCCAACCGTACTGTTTTTCCGTGTACGAATATCTCAACCATAGTACTCATTCTGCAGCTACAACGCAGCAGACGAGAATGCAGCAATATGCTTAATGTTGGAGCAACTCTATGCGTGAGGGTAACTGTGATAATAACTGTGACTGTGTGAGAACTATACAGCGAGAGAAAAAATATCCTAGAAATTAAAAAATCTTTATTTTTGGTGAATATCAATAGCATATTTACTTAAATCTCTAAATTCCTTTCTTTAAATAGAATAAAACGATCGCTTTCGTGGAAAGCAACAGTATATTTCAGGAAAAAATATATTTTTCTCATTTGAGAAGAATATTTTGTTAACGTTAAAAAAAAAATATATATATATATATATCAGTCACAAGTCAATACGTTATTAGTACTCGTCGAATAAATATTTCTAATTTCTTTCAGGTATCTTTTCTCTCAGTGTATAGATGGGCATACAACATCAGCAAATTTTTCATGCAATAAATTTATTCAACCAATAAACTTTTGCAACCACAGAGAATTGTAGCAACCGTGACATTTTTCCTCGTGCGGGAAACGTCTTCTTCGGCCGACTCGCACAGACAGGTGACGCAAGAGAGATTGCGAGTAAAAAAATATATCAATGCTATCTGCTATCAGAGGAGATAAATCTGGACGCGTAGCTCTCGGCCGCGGACGCGGGGAACACGTGTGTTCTCTTCCCGTACGATGCGAAATGGTTGATCACGCGTATTGCGTGCACGCGCATATAATCATGACAAAATGGCGCGACGAACGAATCGCTCGGAAAACAATCCTCTTCCGCGTACCTTTCAATTACACGACTCGATTGTCCCGTCTTTTATTCGTTGTATTAACACTGTACCGGACAAAAGTCTATCGACGGGTAACACTTTAGCCGCGAATGAAGCGCGGGCGTGAAGTAGCTGTTAAAATTCCTCATTCATTTGCTTTCCGTGCATGGAAATTCATCTCATTATCGTCCTCTCATCTCGCTCTCGCCCCACTTCACCTCTTTTTCTCTCCTGGAATATTCCGCGCACAGGTTTTGCGCGATAACGCAATTTTATAGGCACCTATTTCCCAACGGAACTGCGCGCTCGACCGCACAGGGTCACAGGGTTAATTCGATTCTTTTCATTCCGTCGGTTTCGCCGGCTCCGGTTAAGAATCGTCCGATCTCCGTTTCCGATCTCTCTTACTACCTATGACGCCTCTTCACCTCCGATCGAAACGATTCGGTGCACGAGAGAGAGAGAGAGAGAGAGAGAGAGAGGTCACGCGGGGGTGCGCGCTTTTCTCTCTCTCTTGGAATGAATTCGTGCGGAAACCGCGGGACTATTGCTATCGCACGAAAAATCTCAGACAATGCGACACGAGGACGCGCCGGATCTGCCCGTTCTTTGTTCGCGAGGGACGTTATTCCATTTGCGAATTACCCGGCGGGGAGATAAAGGGGCGGTACCACGGGTAGCTTCGTGCGATGGTAAAATCGTAAAACCCGATCTCTCCCGCGAGAGAAAAGAAAGCAAGAGAGAGAGAGAGAGAGAGAGAGATAAGAGGGGGATGGAAAGCAAGGAGGAGAAAATGTTTCCTCCGGATCTCAATGACGTCTTCGGCGCCGCGTATCGCCCGAGGAGACGGCAACAAAGATCGAGATAAAGTAATAATCGCGCCTCGAAACGCTCCGCCGCTCTGTCGTTATAACGGAGCGAGGACATCGGAGATCTGAGGAAAGAGACAAGAAGGAGGAGGGAAAGGAAGACAGAGAGATAAAGAAAGGAAGAGAAGAGGAGATAGAAGGGCGATCAACTAGCGACGAGCCTAATCTCCCCCGGACTACGCGGGGTGGAGGGGGGCGTCCGTAAATCGTGAGGGTGCCAACCACCGACGGGGGGATGGAAACCCCCATAAATTAGAGCGTGTTTACGCAAATCGTAGGGTTGCGAGCGAAGAGGCAGACGGCAGGTAGATAGATAGGGATATAGGTGCGCGCTGAGAGAGGAAGACTCCGTCGATCCTTCCACTACACCCTCTCGCAAATATTTCGTTTTTATCCCCCGGCGGCCACACGCACCCCGCTGGGTGGACAAAGAGAGAAAAAAGAAGAGATAGAGGGAGAAAGAGAGGGAGAAAAATAGCAAGCGTCCCCCTCGCCGGTATAGAATCACGCGAGCTGTTCGTTCGTTCCTACGGAGGGCACGTTCCCGACGCTTCCGGCCATCCGCGATATTAAAGGAGCACCGACGATCAAGAAGGAGTCTACCTGCCTGCGTGTACTCCCTTCTTCTCCCTGTGTGCCGGCGGCGAATGACTCATAATCGCGATATCGCGATAACGTGCGCGAGGTAACTCGAGGACCCGCGCTCGCGCGCCAATGGGGACTTCCTTCCTCGCGAGCGCGTGAACCGGAAGTCGTCGATTCTCGTTTACTCGAAACGGATGCGCGAACGAAGCGACCATGCTGTGAACGCGTTAATGTGAGTGCCATCGCTTTTTCCGCGGCCGGCGAGAATTTATTGAATAAATTTGCAACTCGCCCTGATGAGAGTTTGAAATTCGACTGCGTCGAAAGTTTACACCCATCTCTCTTTCCCTCTCTCTCTCTTTCCTTACTCATGTTGCTCTGCGCGCACCCGGCTTCCGTCTTTTTGCCACAATGAAGAATGCGGATCGCAGCGAGCGGTCGAAAGCGCGATAAGAAAATAACGAATGCGCTTCGGGAGACATAGCAGATGCGAAACATATATATAAATACATTTACACACACACAGTCACACACATATGCACGTATGTATGTATGTATGTATATGTATACATCGTGCTTTTAACGATAACACGACGAGATAAAACAATCAGCCTGTTACAATTAAAGTTGCTCGTGATTTGATTTAAAATCCCGAGATTTTATCAATTCTCGCACGAGGAAATAATTCCGTATACCACATCAGTACGTAAACGAGTCTCGTATTCAGCTCGCGCTCCCGCGAGTTGACGGCGAGAGGGTTGGTGGGTTGGGGATTGAACGGGGAGAGAGGGTAGTAGTACGACACGCCATGGAAATTTAATCGCGAGCGAGTGAGCGCTCGCGCGCGTACGGGCGAATATTTCGCGATGCAACGATGTTGTTTTAACTGCAAGAGCCCAGGGACGGAAGATAGTGTTACCGCGTGTCCTCGCGAGCATCTCGCCCGTCATTATTGTCTGCGATAAAGCGCTCTTTGTGCCGTCGGCAGCGTTCACCGGGCGATAGCCAGCCGATTCGACGAGAGACAGAGAGACAGAGAGAGAGAGAGAGAGAGAGAGAGAGAGAGAGAGAGAGAGATGCACCTCTTCTCCATAAACCCGATCTGTAAAATCGGCGCGCGTGACGAAACAACCGGCGGAAGATGAGGGCTGAACGCGGGCCGAGGTTTGTGTCGCGAGAGCACAGCGAGCGACATGTATCGAACGTGCATGTGCACGTCCCCGTCGGCTGGTAACGGCGATGACCTTGTCCTTCGACGCGCGAATATGAGCAAAACGCGGCCCGTATCGGCCCGCGTGGACCGTGCCGTCGCAGCAGCGGCAGACGCAATAACGCGGGTTGCGTTGCATGAGAGGAGCTGCGCGCTAACGATAAGGAATGTCGATTACTTGACACAAGATTGAAGGCCCCTTACGCGCCCGACTCGCCAAAGTCGTGCTCGTTTATCACGATGGCATAAAGAAAAAAAGAGAAGTAGGTAAAAGCTGTAACAGGATTTTGTAATCTCAAGGAATTATGGTCGAAATTACCACATAGAGTAGAGTATTATAATTCGTTTTCTATTTTATATGAATTGCTTTTTCTCTTTTCACTATAAAATTGTAATTACTTAAACACTCTTTATACATTTCGTAAACCATCAAACTTACCATTTCTACAGTAATTTGCACGAGAATATGACACAGTCTAGTTTTGCAACAAGCACTGTCAAACGAAATGTAATTTTAAAGTACATAATTTTTACTACAACATTTTTCGTCCGTGTATAAAAATAAGGAAGAAAAGAAGCGGCGAGAACGAGAGAAACATGACGAAAATAAGGTTCCGGCACGAGAGAGAGTAGCTTAAAATATCTCGACTAATATTTTGACATCACACCGATATATTATTGATCAGGTGACCATAAATTCACCACTCGATCTTTCACCGACGAATGGTGTTTCTCAGATGAAACGGCGAGCAATTTTCGAGGGGGAAAGCGTCTTCAGAGAAA